TGAGCCAGAAGTTAGCAGTCGCTCGCTGTTATCAGGGCTGCTATAATGCAGCCCGCATAAAAACCGGTTCGTAGTTTACATTCGCGGAGTTTGAGCCAGAAGTTAGCAGTCGCGCACTGTTATCAGGGCTGCTATAATGCAGCACGCATAAAAACCGGTTCGTAGTTTACATACGCGGAGTTTGAGCAGAAAGTTAGCAATCGCGCACTGTTATCAGGGCTGCTATAATGCAGCCCGCATAAAAACCGGTTCGTAGTTTACATACGCGGAGTTTGAGCAGGAAGTTAGCAGTCGCACGCTGTTATCAGGACTGCTATAATGCATTCCGCATAAAAACCGGTTCGTAGTTTACATGCGCGGAGTTTGAGCAGGAAGTTAGCAGTCGCGCGCTGTTATCAGGGCTGCTATAATGCAGCCAGCATAAAAACCGGTTCGTAGTTTACATACGCGGAGTTTGACCAGAAAGTTAGCAGTTGCGCACTGTTATCAGGGCTGCTATAATGCAGCCAGCATAAAAACCGGTTCGTAGTTTACATACGCGGAGTTTGAGCAGGAAGTTAGCAGTTGCGCGCTGTTATCAGGGCTGCTATAATGCAGCCCGCCTAAAAACCGGTTGGTAGTTTACATTAGGGTCACTATATACAGAGAGTTGCGACATGACTAGTCGGAAAAAATCGGTCACGTGATCACTAGACGCCATGTTGTTTCCAAATGGATTCACACCGCTGCCGCTCAAGTACAGCGCTGTATGGATACGCTGTACAATAGTCCGTAGTAATTAATTAGACTAATCGTGCTTCAATAAACTCAAAATTCACAGAGATTATAGCTAAGACATGTGTCGATGTGTATCTAGATTTCTAGAAATGTTACTCAAATCGTTCGCGCCATATGATAGTTTAATTATACATTTTCTTACCGCCATGCATAGCCGTGCGTATATTAGCTCGTGCGATACCGCGCGTAGATACTTGTTATAATTAAATAAACCACTCGCGCTTCAATAAACTCAAGAATCACAGAGATCATAGATAACACACGTGTACTTGTACACGCACGCACACACTCATGCACGCACGTGTACGTGCACACGCACGCACGCACGCACGCACGCACGTCTACGTGCACATGCACACGCACGTTTATATACACACGCACGCATGCATAATAAATCGGTAATAATCGCTATCGGGTGTTGTCGTGTAGACGCTCCATAATCGCTAACTCGAGTTAACGCATAACTCGAATTAGCTTAACTCGAGTTAAGGTTCGGGGAATTAAGGGATATAATATATAAGGATGTAAGTGTAGACACATCGCACAAAGAGACACAAAACCACGCACACGCGCGTGGCACGCGCGTGTGCTTTCTCTCGCGACCAGAACCAGAACCTGTAACACCAATGCAGCCGCAACAAGATGCGCGACGCTGTGTCTAGATAGACTTAGGGTCCCTATATACAAAGGGATAATTTGTAGATAAGGTCTCTAGATAGACTATTACCAGGAGTAAGATAATATCTTATATTATCTTACTCCTGCTATTACTACAACAACCCCTAGTCTAGCTCCACTGACTAAATCACGCAACACGTGAAAAACACATGTTACAGCTGCGAGCGAGTGGAGAGTGGAACGCATTTATCTTGTGAATTACAGTTGTCATATTCTTCCAAAATGACTGGTTGCTGTGCTTATGAGTGCAATAAATATGTCGTTTATTGAAGCGCGAGTGGTTTAATTAATGATAGCAAGTATCTACGCGCGGTATCGCACAGGCTAATATACGCACGGCTATGGGCGGGAAGAAAGTGTACAATTAAACTATCATAATAATATTATGGCGCGAACAATTTGAGTTACATTTCTAGAAATCTAGATACATATAAACACATGTGTTATCTATTATCTCTGTGATTCTTGAGTTTATTGAAGCGCGAGTGGTTTAATTAATTATAGCAAGTATCTACGCGCGGTATTGCACAGGCTAATATACGCACGGCTATGGGCGGTAAGAAAGTGTATAATTAAACTATCATATGGCGCGAACGATTTCAGTAACATTTCTAGAAATCTAGATACACATAGACACATGTCTTAGCTATAATCTCTGTAAATTTTGAGTTTATTGAAGCACGATTAGTTTAATTAATTACTACGGACCATTGTACAGCGTATCCATACAGCGCTGTACTTGAGCGGCAGCGGTGTGGATCCATTTAGAAACAATATGGCGTTAAATCCTGGGTTGTCGCAACTCTCTGTATATAGGAACCCTAGTTTACATAAGCGGAGTTTGAGCCGGAAGTTAGCAGTCGCGCGCTGTTATCAGGGCAGCTATAATGCAGCCCTCATAAAACGTAATAGTTTGCAATGTTCACGTTTTTGTTGACTATATTATAGCAGTGTTATCATAGGCTGGCCACTTCTTGCTAGCTTAATAGTACATGGAGTGTATTTGGGGCATGCATTGTTTCAGAATTTCACTTTGTGCTAGAACTACGCAGAATCTATGGTTTTGTTAGAGTAGTCTGATGTAAAATGCTATATTTGATTTATAACTGCATTTTCTTGGCATGAAAAACATTTACCTAACTTTGTATTTCACTTGACAGCAACAAATTGTAAATAAAGAAGCTTCTTTGGAATAAATTCTGCAAGTTGCATATATTTATGATGTTCACCCTAATTTTTGTAAATAGTATTTACACGTTGTGCAATTTGAAGTCTCCAACTTTACACCGAAACATAAACATCCTGTAGCATTAGAAGAAATTTATAGTTAGATTACCTCATTTTTAGCTGATTTTTTAAGCTTTGGTGCCACATTTACCATAAAATTGCGAAACATTAGCAGAAATTATCATTTCCAAGAATTCAAAAGTATTTCCAATGGTGTTATATATATATATATATATATATATATATATATATATATATATATATATATATATTATATGAATATTGGTCAAATATACTCTGTCTCTCTCTCGAACACTCTTTCTCTCCCCCCTCTCTCCCTCTCTCCCTCTCTCCCTCTCTCCCGGCTTAGCTATATATCTCTCTTCCTCTCTATGTCTTGCTTTCTATTTTTCTTTCTCTCGTTTTCTCACTCTCTCTTTCTCTATTTCTCTCTCTCTCTCTCGATTTCTCTCGCTCTACGCCAATTGTAACTTTTTTCGCAGCATCGAGTAGAATACGACATCATTGGAAGCACTTACCCTGTACAGATCGTAGTCTTTCACGTAGTACATAAGGTTGGAGATGCTATTGAAGTGCATGGAGGCTGTGTTCCAGGGTACGAAATGCGTTTCCATGTCCAAATACCTGCAAAACATTATTTAATTCTAATTAATTAATTTTCTAATTTTCAATTAATTAACTAATTAATTTTAATTAAAAACATTATTTAATTATTAATTCTCTGTTTCTCTCTCGCCTTTACTCTTTCCACCTCTTACCATTCCTCCGGCTCTCATTCTCTCGCGCCTTCTGCCCCTCGTATTCCCCTCCTCTTCCTAGTCCTCATCTTTCCGACTGTCCTCCTCTATTTCCCACACTCTCTTAAACTTTTTCTCACGCTTTCTCTCCCATGCCGACCTCTTAGACATATCCACTACTCCTTCTCCATCTCTTCCTTTCCCTTTTCAATTGCTCTAGCTATTCATACTTCTCCTCTTTTCCTCTCATCAACCTAGTCAACAACAGCATACCTGGTCAACAACAACATACCTGGTCAACAACATACCTGGTCAACAACATACCTGGTCGACAACATACCTGCCGTCAACAACAACATACCTGGTCAACAACAGCCATACCGCTGTCAACAACATACCTGGTCAACAACATACCCGTGGTCGACAACATACCTGGTCAACAACAACGTACCTGCGTCAACAACATACCTGGCGCACACAACACAACCTGCCGGCAACAACACAACACCTGGTCAACAACATACCTGTCGACAACATACCTGGTCGACAACCCCCCCTACCTGAACAAACATACCTGGGCAACAACATACCTGGGCAACAACATACCTGGTCAACAACAGCATACCTGGTCAACAACATACCTGGTCAACAACATACCTGGTCGACAACATATCCTGGTCGACAACATACCTGGTGCACAACATACCTGGTCAACAACATACCTGCGTCATGTTGAAAGGTACGTCGAAGGGAATGATTTGTGCTTGGCGAGACTGAAAGCGCGTCAGCCAGCAGTTGACACGGTCCGACGCACTCAGCTGAAACATGTGTCACATTCCTCAAAGATTATCACTTTGTCACACTTTGTCAAACATTGTCACATTGCCAAATTTGTTATCAACAATGTCAAACATTGTCACATGTTGCAAACATTGTCACATTGTCACATTGTCAAACATTGTCACATTGTCAAACATTGTCACATGTCAAGACATTGGTTCGTTACGAGCGTGACACGCAGTGAGGAGTGGAGAGGACGAATGAGAAGAGAAAGATGGCCAAGGAGAGATAGAAGGGGAGAAAGGGAAGGCGAGGCAGAATGAGAGAGAGAGAGAGAGAGAGAGAGAAAGATAGAGAGAGAAAGAGAGAGAGAGAAAGCAGAGAGGAGAAAAGAGAGAGAGAGAGAGAGAAAGAGAGAGAGAGAGAGACGAGAGAGAGAGAGAGAGAAGAGAGAGCAGGAAATAGAAAGCAAGAGAAAGAAAAGAGAGAGAGAGAGAGCAGGAAATAGAAAGCAAGAGAAAGAAAGAGAAAAGAAAGAGAAAGAGAGAGAGAGAAGAAAAGAGGGAGGGACATGCGGTGTTTAGAAGGGAGAGGGTGAAGTAGAGGGAGAGGGAATATTTATGATATATTTGCTTAACTAATATCAATGCTTCATTATTTAATGTTATATCATTATTATGTACTATTTAGATTACTAATGTAATATGTACTAATTAAGTATTTATGTGCTAATTGCACTCACGCGTTTCGTGATTGTCCTGCAGCAACAGGCTGAGACGCAGCCATTCTGTATCGATCGTAGTTTACTATATAGTATCCGAGAAACCTCTGATTGAACTTGATCCAGTCAGTGTCGGCCAGGAGAAGATTACTGAGAAAAAAGCACGCGACTGTGAAAAGCACGGGAGATTTTCACATTTCGATTCAAGAGATTTGACGTTCTGAATTAATAAAAAAATTTCGATTGCGAAATTGAATTGCGTGAAGTTCTTCGAAATTCTAATTTTTGAATGTTTACAACTTTCGAAATATCCGAAAATGATTTCACTTCGCGTTCTGTATTTGCTTGCCTCGCTTGCTATCTATCTACGCGCGCCGCGCGCGCGCGCGCAGCGCGTGTAGTGTGTGTTGTTGGTGTGTGTGTGTGTGCTGGTGGATGTCGTGTGGTTGTGTGTTGCGGTGGGTGCCCGTGTGTGATGTGTGTGTGTGTGTAGTCGCGCGTGTGTGTGTGGTGTGTGTGTGTTGTGTGTGTGTGTTTGTTTTGTTGTTGGGAGGGCGGGTGAGTGCGCGCTGGCGTGTGTGCTGGTGTGTGTGTGTGTGTGGTGCTGTGTGTTTGTGTGTGTGTGTGGGTGTGTGTTGTTGGTTGGGGGGTGGGTGAGTGTGGTCGCTGCGTGCAGTGTGTGCGTGCTGATACGCCCTGCTTGTTCACTACTTCCGTGTCAGTTCATCGTAGATTGTGCCGTGCCGTGGTTGGAGAGCTGGATGTAATTATGTCATAGCGGCACAAACATGTAATAGCCTGAAAACACATCACACACACACCACACACACACAGACTGAAAATTACAGACCATGCCCGCCAGGGTGCGCCTTAGCACCCACTTACAATCACCAGAAATACGCTACTGAGAGTAACCATACATTTAAACGCCATATAATCCGG